ACCCCTGTGACCCTGGCAGTGGGGGCCGCGGGGCTGTGACCCCATGACCCTGGCAGTGTGGGCTGTGGGGCCATGACCTGCATGACCCTGGCCGGTGGGGGCCATGGGGCCATGACCCCTGTGACCCTGGCAGTGGGGGCCGCGGGGCTGTGACCCCATGACCCTGGCAGTGGGGGCCGCGGGGCCATGGTGGCCCGGGTTGTGATGTCTCAGTCGACATCTCTGTTTCAGCACGGTGACATGGAACTTCAGTGTGGGTGGCCCCAGGCAGGTGTTCAGCCTGGCCTGTGCAGGAGCTTAGTGCCAAGCCGGGGCTCCTGTCCAGCAGCAGAGGTGCTCCCCCAGGTGTTTGGAGCACCTGCCTTCCTGCAGGGGAGGGGCCCCACAGGCCTGGGAGGAAGGCCCCCAGCTCATCTCAAGGCAGGGATGCGGGAGCCGAGGGCGTCCCAGCCAGCTCTGACTCCCAGAAAGGGAGTTCCGTGCCAGCCAGAGGGTCAGAGCCAGGCCTCGTCCTGGGAGGACCAGAGCTCGGGGACCTCCCGAGCCGCTTGGTGTCTGCGGCAGCCAGGGGACCTGGGGAGGGCAGGGCCAGGCCAGCGTGGGCATGGCAGGCAGGGGCAGGGAGGCCGGCGTCCCCCAGGTACACATGGACCCTTCATGCCAGGCTATGGGGGCAGGGGGAGGAGCTTCAAAAGTTCTAGAGGGATCCAAAGAATCTGAGAGTGGTGGCGTCAGTGTGGACTCTTGTACCTACACCTGTGGTACCCTGCACAACCCCCTCAGGCCGGCCCCCACACAGCACGGAGCTGTGAAGAGCCAGGCGGGCAGGCACCCTGCTCCCCCTCGACAGCGGCGCATGTGCAAGTCGGTGGAAGTGACCAGCGCGGGTGCAGAGGCACAGAGGACCCAGCGGTCGGTGGAGGGACGGGAGCTGGACATGCTCAGGGAGGCATTCCCAGTAGGCACCAGGGCCACACAGGAGGACCCCGTGTAGCTCTGCGTGCCCCCCAACGCTGTCAGCAGCAGGTGTCCCAGACAGGAGCCGGGGAAGCCTCTTCCGGGAGAACAGCAGCTGAAGGCCATCCGTGTGGCTGCAGGGGGGCCTGGCTGCCTCGTGAGAAATGAAAGTCCACGCTTGTGGCCCCAGAATCCTCAGGGCCTGCCGAAGGCAGGGCAGGGCAGGGCAGGAGCTCCTGGGAGCTGCAAGGGAAGGACCTGCAGCCACAGGGGACCTGCACTGCTCACCTCGGCAGGTGGACGTCAGGGCGCACATGGTGCCCCGTTGCAGCCTAAGGAAGCCCCCCAGCAGGGCAGCTCAGTCTGTGAGCTCAGGGCGGCACAGGCGGTGTCAGGGTGACACACACTGTAAGCTCAGGGCAGCTCAGGCTGTGTCAGGGAGACACACACCGTAAGCTCAGGGTGGCTCAGGCAGTGTCAGGGAGACACACACCGTAAGCTCAGGGCAGCACAGGCAGTGTCAGGGCAGCTCAGGCTGTGAGCTCAGGGTGACACAGGCGGTGTCAGGGTGACACACACTGTAAGCTCAGGGCGGCTCAGGCGGTGTCAGGGTGACACACACTGTAAGCTCAGGGCGGCTCAGGTGGTGTCAGGGCAGTTCAGCCTGTGAGCTCAGGGCGGCTCAGGCGGTGTCAGGGTGACACACACTGTAAGCTCAGGGCAGCTCAGGCGGTGTCAGGGAGACACACACTGTAAGCTCAGGGCAGCACAGGCAGTGTCAGGGTGACACACACTGTAAGCTCAGGGCAGCTCAGGCTGTGTCAGGGTGACACACACCGTAAGGTCAGGGCGGCTCAGGCAGTGTCAGGGCGACACACACTGTAAGCTCAGGGTGGCTCAGGCAGTGTCAGGGAGACACACACCGTAAGCTCAGGGCGGCTCAGGCAGTGTCAGGGTGACACACACTGTAAGCTCAGGGCAGCACAGGCGGTGTCAGTGTGACACACACCGTAAGCTCAGGGCAGCACAGGCAGTGTCAGGGCAGCTCAGGCTGTGAGCTCAGGGTGACACAGGCGGTGTCAGGGTGACACACACTGTAAGCTCAGGGCGGCTCAGGTGGTGTCAGGGTGACACACACCATAGGCTCAGGGCAGCACAGGTGGTGTCAGGGAGACACACACCATAGGCTCAGGGCAGCACAGGCGGTGTCAGGGAGACACACACCGTAAGCTCAGGGCGGCTCAGGCGGTGTCAGGGAGACACACACCGTAAGCTCAGGGCGGCTCAGGCGGTATCAGGGAGACACACACCGTAAGCTCAGGGCAGCACAGGCGGTGTCAGGGAGACACACACCGTAAGCTCAGGGCAGCACAGGCAGTGTCAGGGCAGCTCAGGCTGTGAGCTCAGGGTGACACAGGCGGTGTCAGGGTGACACACACTGTAAGCTCAGGGCAGCACAGGCGGTGTCAGGGTGACACACACCATAGGCTCAGGGCAGCACAGGCGGTGTCAGGTTGACACACACCGTAAGCTCAGGGCAGCACAGGCGGTGTCAGGGTGACACACACCATAGGCTCAGGGCAGCACAGGCGGTGTCAGTGTGACACACACCGTAAGCTCAGGGCAGCACAGGTGGTGTCAGGGAGACACACACCGTAAGCTCAGGGCGGCTCAGGCTGTGTCAGGGAGACACACACCGTAAGCTCAGGGCGGCTCAGGCTGTGTCAGGGTGATACACACTATAAGCTCAGGGTGGCTCAGGCGGTGTCAGGGAGACACACACCATAGGCTCAGAGCAGCACAGGCGGTGTCAGGGTGACACACACCGTAAGCTCAGGGCAGCACAGGCGGTGTCAGGGTGACACACACCATAGGCTCAGGGCAGCACAGGCGGTGTCAGGGAGACACACACCGTAAGCTCAGGGCAGCACAGGCGGTGTCAGGGAGACACACACCGTAAGCTCAGGGCAGCACAGGCAGTGTCAGGGCAGCTCAGGCTGTGAGCTCAGGGTGACACAGGCGGTGTCAGGGTGACACACACTGTAAGCTCAGGGCAGCACAGGCGGTGTCAGGGTGACACACACCATAGGCTCAGGGCAGCACAGGCGGTGTCAGGGTGACACACACCGTAAGCTCAGGGCAGCACAGGCGGTGTCAG